TTTTGCCAGATATTTAAGTGCCCTCAAGTTCAAGAACTTATTTCAATACCGCCATTTATTTGCAGGAAAATCAATAAAGCAATTTCTGTTTACCCATTCTAGCCACTTTTCCCCCACGACGACACTTTTGTTAATGAAAAACTGCTGTTTTTTGCCTGGCTCAATGGTTCTTTTTATATAACCAACGTGGCGTATGAGTAACGCAGCTAAGCCCCCACTTCCAGACCAAATGTCCTAGTCCGAGGTGCTTGCCACATTCTCCCCCTTCTTGTTTTATTTTGCATATTACACGGGTAGATTTTCTGCGTTTTTTCCTTGGCTTGGCAAGCTTTTAGGGCGCAGCAAATAAATAATAAATGAGGCAACAATGAATGCCCGGCAAAGGAAGGAAAACACTTTCACTCGGCAGACTGGGCCGTAAAAATTGACAAGATATAAAACAAATATTTCTATATAAAGGCAGCAGTGAACAAAAACTTGGATCGTAAAATAATATGACGCCATAAAAAAAAAAGAAAATACATTTAGTTATGACTTGAGGCGTCTGCGTCTGGCGAAAATAAGACCTTAAGGCGGGACAGAAACCATAAACATTTTATGCTCAAAATGATAATCTAAGGCAGCAGTGTTAAAATTCTCGTTTAACGAGTGAAAATCAATTGCAATCGATTGAAGCGAAGGACGGGGCGTAACTTAAAGTCGTGTCCTTTATAAACCGAAACGTTTCCCGTGTGAAATATTTTTCACATAATTGTCGTATCAAAATGAAATGCAATCTTCCACCGCAGACTTTTTAATGACCCACAGCCAATTTCGCCGACACAAACAGCTCGATGATATGATGGCCATTTGCTGGATTATATTCGGTAAACCAGTTGACAGTTTACCGAGTTAATGGGGACACAGTGTGGATTGATCGCGGTGGGTGGACAACGCGGCGTGTACATAACCCTGCAGAAGCCAACCCACATCGCATCACTCAATTTGCATACGCACACTACTAAATATTCATAGATTTGCATATCAGTGGCCAAGTTTACAAACTCTAGCTGTACGATATAAATCTTGGCAATCAAGCATAATTAAACTGTCAGCATAATTAAATTTATCGCATATATCCGTACCTCTATACCATTTCCTGATTTCATACCTTTCGGCATACAAATTTATAGCTTTTGTAAATTTCCAGGAAAATTGCCCTGTCCCTTCCAATGTTTTTGAACGTATTTTCCTCGCTTTTGGTTTCACTTTCTTTGAGAATTTATACTCCTGTTATTTATACCAGCAGTTACAAACTTGCAATGGCAATAACAATAAATATATTCGTTTTTAACAGGGTTTTGGGTGGGCCCTATCAAGTAAACTACACCGCTGTTTGACACCTACAATTTAGTATCGAATTAATTGGTTTCAATACATTGTAGGTTTTATGTTTTTGTGATGACACTTTCAAAATGCAAGACAATTTTCTGTGAATTGTTGTTTGTTCAAATGAAAGGTTTTATTAATGTTAGCTATCCACGAAAAAAAAGACTAATTTTTTCCCCAGAGCCTGGCATAAATATTTAAACAAGAATTTTCCATTTTCTGAAATTAATGTAACCCGTTACCATTTTTATAAATAGAAGTAACACTGGCGTTTGTGTAGCCACCCGTTATTATCTCCCATTTTCCCCTTTTTTGTTACAATTAAAATCCGCAGCAAAAATCCCATTAAAAGTTAACCTCCTTCTCCAATTTCAGATCCCTTAGCTTACTTATAACCCATTAGAGACCACGCAAAATGCTCGACCAAGGGAATTAATTAGGAAGCGTGGTGCAAAAGTCGGGACCGAAAGTTGCTAATATAATTATTCCGAGACTTTCAGGTTCAGGTCCATGGCAGCCAGTTGGCCTAAATGCTTTCGGATAGCAAGTTGATTCCAACTGAAGTCTAGTTGGCTGCAACTTTTGAATGCCAAGCGTTGTTGGCCATAATGCGCGGCGTAATCACGTTTCAGCTTTTGCCTGAGCGCTCTGTTGATTTTGAAATACCCGCCCATTGCAGCTTTGCTTTTATGGAAATTTCATTTTGTGGCAGCTGCAGTTGGGAGCGATCACGTAAGTGGAAATGGCCAAGTCCACGGAATGTTTTGTAAGCCAATATGTTCGTCAGCTGGCTCAGTGGTGCTTGCACTCGTGGTGGTTGCAGCCTTCGCCACGAACTCGTATTTTTGTGGGCCAGCTATTTGCATGTGGGGCACGCTCCAGCGACTGCCAGGCAGTGTGCTACGTTTTGTTTGCTATTTGTTGCCGCTTTAGTCACCGCACGACGGGCAGATGGGATCACTGGGGGAACTCCCCAGCCAACTGCCACAATTTTGGCCGACTTCTTACACATTAGCCAAAAAGAAATCAAATATTGCATAATTTATGCCGTAAGACTGGACTTGAGTACGCTCGTAAAACTAATTGAATTATTCGCTTAATATTTATGATACTCTAGGCGACGTTACTAAATGAATATTTAAACGGTGCGTTAATGGAAATGTACGATCCAAAAACATATTAGATAAACAAAAATACCTGGCTCCATTGAATCTATTTCTTCAGAAACTGAAGGAAAGCAAAATGGATTGCGATGAAAATGAGTCTTTATTTATTAGTTTCGGCTTTTTATAAATCAAATCCAATGAAAATTACATGAGTTCGAATCAACGTTCTAAATCTTACAGGGTCCCATTTAAGAAAGTGTCAGTCACTTTTCTGCCAAATGCCACCACTGGAAACGGAAAACAATGCAACAATCGCGAGTAATGAACGCTTTTTTGATGAAAAGGAAAAGGAAGTGACGCAAAACCCTTTCAAGCTGTCACAGGGTGCTGGCTTTCAGAGTGCTTTCGACCAGCTTCAGCAGATGCCTGGCGGTGGCACATTTATTAACTGCCCCGCGATCGTCCAGCAGGGCAGCTGACCAAAAAATTACGACCAACACACAAAGCCACGACCTGCCAGGCAACCCACGCTCGTTATCGTTCGTCACAAAACCAGAATGCCGCGGAGCACAAAAGCGAGCCACAATAAATAAACTCAGTTGCACCCACTGACCAAACTCAAACTCAAACCCATAACCAAACCCAACCCAACCAGGAGCCAATGTTAAGTAAAGCCAGCAAGCGGGTTAACAAACGCCGTGGAAATGCAACGAGTTTCTTTGCAGCGGGAAATTGCAGCATAAAATATGTTGTCAGTGACAGGAAAACTAAAATTATTACACTGCTCTGCAAAGTTGGTTTTCCAAGAGAGATTGCTAAAAGGAAATTGCGACAAATTGGTTAGGGTTTATTTTTGCTAAAGTTTCCAGCATTGAATTTTCTCAGTTAAGATTGTTAAAGTGGGAAAGATAAGCACAGAGTGAAGATAACTGCAAAGCACTTAACAGAGCAGTTGTTGACTATTTTGCTTAAGTTTTTGCAAAATATTTATGAAAGCTTAATCAATATGCTCGCATAACAATAATCCACAGTTTTAAGAAATGATTTATAAAATAATTTTTAAAGCAATTAGCATGTTTCTGCAAAATATTCCACAAAGCCAGAAACCTGTTATTAATCGTCAGAATTAAATTATGATTTATTTATTCATGTTTTAATGAACTTTTTAGACAAATCAAGTCAAATTACTATTATTATTTGTATTTTGATACTAGATATTGTTATAATCTGAGCCCTTCTTTCAAAAATGGATATTTTTGTATACTTTTAGCATATTGCGTTGCGTTTCAAGGGAAACCTTGGGGTTTTCATAGAAAGCACTTTGCGGTTGACAGGCTTGTGATTCCTTAAGCGGGTGTAAATGGCTTTCCCTTAATATTTCCAAAGTGCAATTACTGCAACCGACGTACTGTGGGTAAAAAGGAATTGAGGAAATTGTGACCCCTCGTCAGGTAAATGCATAAAACTGTCAAAATGTCGAGTGCAAGGATTTGGAAACTCTACAGGGCTGAATTTTGTCGCATTAATATTGGATGACCGGCAATATCGGCATTAAGCGTTAAATGGAGCGTCCGCAAAAATTAGTATGATAGAATAATTCTGTTTTGCATATTCATGAAGCGGCTGTGCGACAGGCGGCAATTAATGACCAATTAAGCCACTGACTAAATGAAGTCTATTCGTGGCCTACAACCATTAGTTTGCCAAACACTTGTACGCAAATGTATTATCCAGGCTTGAGTTAATTACATATTTGGTTAGGGGGCACACAATGCATACATCAAATGAATAATTTAATTATAACAAGAATCATTTCAGACATGTTTCAAATGCCACAAAACCACGGCAGCCATTTTTAAATATATGCTGAACCATTTCAGACATGCTTCAAATGCCACAAATCAACGGCGACCCACAAGCGTTAATTAAATAATAAAAAAAAATGTTGGAAAAAAACAGTGAAAATTCCATCACGAACCAATGCCTGGAAAAACCCAACCAAAAAAAAAGTAATTAAAAAATTTCCAACTGCCTTAAAATACCATTTACATAAACTTTAAACGGAAAGCCAAAGATTTTCATCGGTGGCCACCATAAACACGCCAACGGAAAATCGGTAAAACTGCAAAAAAGGGAAACGGAGTAGGAAAATAAAATAAATGAAAAAGGACGTGCACATTAATTACGCAGCTCACCTGCATACTCAACTGAAAAAGTTCAAAAAAAAACCAAATTAAATTAAAAGGAAAGTAGCAAAATAGCACATATTTATTTTTTGGAATTTAAGGCTGAGTGGTGCAAAAAATAAACTTCAGCAGGGGAACTAAGACAAAAGCCAGAAAAGAAAAATTGTTGAACAAAGGAGAGACTGTGCACCAGAGCGAAGGTCAATCAGTGAATGGGAGTTGGCTTAAACAAAAACTTAAACAAAAAAAAACAAAAACCCATTCCGAATTGCGTATACGCCAGGTGCTCCCCTAATGAGCTGTCGATGTAGAGAAGTTGGAGTTGCGTTCGATTACTTACCGCTACGCTTCACAATGGGATTGGCCATGTGTCCGTACAAACGGCTCAAATCGATGGCCATCGTGCTGGTGGTGGCCTGAAGGAGCAGCAGGCAGACCGCGAATGTCGACCACATGCTGAGATGTCGATGGCGTTGGTGTTGGTGATGTTGGTCCATGGTCATGGACAGCTGACTAGCGGAACTTTCTTTCTATCGAAATTAAAACACTCGGCCAGCTGCTAAAAAGTTTTTCACACGCGCACGCACACGTTTTCCACTTTATCCGAGTGTTTTGATGAAGTTTTCTAGTTTCTTTTACAGAAGCAGTTTCCCCAGGCAACTTTCTCCTCGTGCTGCCTGCCCTTTGATTGAATTATCGTTGGCACTTCAGCCACAACGGCGGGTTCGTCCCGCTCTTCTCTCGCTCGTCCTTCAATATGCTAATCGCCTTCTAATGGAGTTATACGAACCAGAAATTAGCTGCAACTTCTTCCCGATTCCTGGTTCCCTATATTTTCGTTTTTCTCGTTTCTATATAGTTTCCTTATCGTTTACTACGTGGTTCTAAGGACTACATGCAAGCTTTAACCAGTTTGGTTGTTTGGTTTTTCGGTTTGTTTCGATTTCGTTTGTTTGTTGGTTTGTATTTTCGTTTCGTTGAAATTAAAGTTGAAAATAATTTTGCAGGGAAACAAATATTTATATGTGTGTATATAGATATATGTTTTTAGTCGACTTTTTACATTTTTCTACACTGCAACGAGAAGAGAGAAAGTGGAAAAGTTAGTTAGAAGTTTATAATTGAAATTTTAACTTGTTTTTACATTCAAAGCTAAGGACTTCCAACCGTGACATTTGCTAGATAACTTCAAAGTTTTAATTAAAGTTTAGCAAAACTCGAAATTGACAAAAATTTCATATAACTTAAATGGATAAATTTAAGTTAGTTTGCTAAAAGATTAAAAAACCGACTAGGACTGAAATTAGCCATAACTTAAACTTCTGAAAATTTTCACAAAGCTCTTTTTATTGTTCCGGTAAATTAATAACTTATTATCCACAAAACGTCTTTTGATATCTGACTTGTTTTTTCTTTTAATCTTATGTTGCTTAAGCTATTCTTAAGTAAGCTTTATTAATTTTCATATTGTTTTAAATCCCCAAAAATGTATTTGATCCTGTTTCCATGGTTTTAAAATGTGTATGTTTTTCAATAGCATGTTTTTTGGTAAGGAATATTTTATTTATGCGACAGTAACCCTTAATTAAGACGTCAAGAAATTGACACCGCTTGTGCTGTGGATTATCCGGAGATGTCTCCAGAAGGCAATTTACATGCCACAGCAACTTGCGACTGTGTCATCTAATCAGCTTAACGAACTTTAACTTTTCCTTGCTCATATTCCCTCGGCTGTTTTATTTTTGAAAGCGGGGGATGTAAAAGTTCATCACGCCAGGGGATAGAAAGTTGAACAACCCTTTTTCGTATAATTCTTAGATGGATTTCCAGCACTCACACACTCGAGCGACTCTTAATGACTCTCTCGAGCACCCAAAACACATACGACGCGTGTAACCAAAAAGCGGCAGCAAAAAGGAAAGCTAAAAAAAGGCCAGACATAGACGAACCTTTAATTATAGCCAAGTTAACCCTTCCATTTTTGCTCTTTTTTTTGTGCAAGCAAAAGTTGAAGAAGTGAAAAAGTGTTGTTACTTTCTGGCATACTTTTCGGGGCAATCAAAAATGGACAGACGACAAAACAGAGTATTCCTTGGCCCCGAAACTTGAAAAGGGAAAAGTTAAAGGCAGAATAGAAAAGCTTTTTAATTAGTCCTTTTTTGCAGCTGTAGTATAAAAGTGAACAGTTCTCAGAACAGCCTGGAGCATTGAATAATGAACCAAATATTTACCTAAATTTGAAAGTGATAAGTTTGGTGTTAAAATTTTAGCACTTCTCAAGGCACTATTCAAAATTCTGCTAAGTCAAACTATAAAGTTTAGATTGACTTAAATTTAAGCTTTTCAAAAACGCCAACGGAAATTTTTAGACTCAGGAAGTTCAACTTTTTTGGGCTTCTCATCTGCCACTAGAGAATTAAGCCGTAAAATCTTGTTACAATTCCCAAGAAGACATAAACTAAACTCACAACCCACAGAAAAAGGAAATAAAAACAAAAACGAAGGACATAAAATACTTTAATGGACTTAAAATGAAACTTCTGCCTTGGCTCGACGGATTTAATAAAGACCTAAAAAGGCAGACAGCGACAGTTTCCGCAAAAACATGCACAAATACAGAGACAATTTTCAGGTTTAATCGGGGACCATTTGGCTCTTAAGACGCGTTAGCCAAATAGTAAATATAATCCACAAGAGACTCACCGACAAATAGAGAACGCCAAAGGAAATCCGCACCAAAGGAAGAATCGGGAAAAGTTAAAGTGAATTATGGCCAAGGTGGCAAAATGTGGCCAAATAATACGGCGCAAATTGCTCGAATAAGAATCGACAAGAGTAAAGGTAAAAAGGGCATCAAGGTAAGTGGAAAAAACCATTTGTAAAAGTGTGGGAAAAAAATGTTTTGGAGCTTAAAAAGTTGAAAGTTTCTTACAATTTAATTTAAAGTCAAATTATGAGACCCAAATATCAAAATATAAGCGCTCATTAATTTGGGCAAAATAATATTAAAAGAATTATTAAATATTACTTTAAGGTAATAAAGCGAAAAAAATATAATTTATAACAAATATTTCTCGCAAACAGAAATATAATTCCTACAGTAAAATAATAACAGTTTACAGCCCATTTTTATAAAATCGGCCCAACGCCAGTAAATGAGTCAATAAATATTAATTTAAGTATTTCTACGAATTAAATAATTTTTTTTTAATCAATTAAAATCTCGTCAAGACATAGTTTGAAATTTAATTTAAATTTTGAGTGCCTTATACTGGGATATAATAACAAATATAATTTTAATTTTAGAAATCAAAATAAAATCAATTAAAGTGTTAAAAAGGTAATACAAGGCAAACTTTACCTCGAAAATATGTGGACCTTAGCCGACTAAGTCTGCGCTTAGCATCTAAGCCAAAAAATAAATTTATCCCTGCACAAACATGACTAAAAAACAGAAAAGCCAGAAAAAATTTAGAAAACACTAAATCCAAACATTTTTGCCCGGCCACCTTGGCTTTAGGCTAAACACAAAGAAAAAGATCGACCAAATCACAAACAAACATTAATTTGCATAATTTACTGTGGACACCCAAACGAAAATGTGCCAGCATTTTCGCAGCCAGTATTTTTAAACCATTTCCTTTCTTTGCATTCATTTTCTTCTTTGTGGGGGTTTGGGGTTCTTAATGCATAATTTAACAGCAGCCAGAAAAGCCAGAGGGTAAGGACAACGGGGGCGCAGCACGGCAACAAGAGCCCAAGGAAGTTGGGAACAATCAACAACTGCGTGTTGTTATTCAAAGCACACGCACACCGACATTCGCACACACTCGCACCCAACCACCAGCCGCCACACGGCGTATACGCAACGTGAATCATGGAAGCGGGACAAGACTAACGAGGCCTAGGCTTGAAAAAAAAAATCCGTAAAAATATATGAGGAGTGCTGGGCGGTTGGGGCAGTAAGTATAACATAAAGGTAATGAAGAGCAACAGAGCGGAGCCGTAAAGAAGCAATTTTCCGCACACACAGATTTTCCTTTCAACTCAAATTTCGTTGGATTTTTGCATTGGGTTGGTGGGTTGGGTTTCTTCAACAGTTTTTCACACAATTTTAAACGGATTCAAGTCACAAGTCATGTAATAGAACACGCGTCAGTTGGAAATCCTTTTGCCACTTATATTGTATTTATTTATTTTTTTTTGTTACAACAAGTAGTTCTTATGTTTCTTAAGGGTTTTCTTAGATGCATAAAGATGTTACAGTACGTTTGAGTACGAGCCAACAACTCGAACCACTATTTACAACTCCGCTTGAGTGTAAGTTTCAAACTCGACTGAAGCGTTGAGCGCTTTACTGCCGTCTTTTAAGCACTTTTTCCACCACTCAAGTTGAGCTTCGTCGCCGCCTACGCACGAATCCTCGCCGAGTGAATTTCCCGGACGAGTGGAAAACCACTTACCTCTCTCGCGTTTCCCTCCTGCGGTTGAGTTTTCCCCGCGGCATTCGCTCTTTGCCGTGCTCTCAATGTCACTCGCAGGGCTCGAGCACCTGCTCTGGGCCATATTTCGTTGGTTGTGTTTATGGTTCTTGGGTGTTGGCCAGGAGCGGACTCATTTTTTTGCTAAGTACTGGAAATTGCTACTCGATTATAACGCAATAAACCGTTTAGCGTCTTTATTTAATTTTTGAATTTAAAGTGTTTAAAAAGCAGTTGAAGGTTAAAATAGTTGAGTTGATAAGGTGTTGAAGCAAGTTAAAAGATTTTTTTAACTTGTATTCAATATACACCTTAAAATTCGTTTAATATTAAAAAAAACCCAAAAATCTTAAAATCTTTAAAATATTAAAATTTTACAAAAAAAATCTGTTTATAAATTTTGTTTGACATTTTTAATTTTTATTGACTGATCATTTAAATCTAAAAATCTAAATGATGTACATATGAAATGTAAAACTGAGTAACAAATATTACTGATTTAGTATTAGTTGTTAATCTTTAAGCAATTTTTTTATAAATACAAATACGAATATGTATTTATTTAAACAATAACAAATATGAATTTGTTTATTACATTATGTCCTTTTTTATATTTGGTTTTTGAAAATATTTTTTTGTTTTATCCGAATGCAGGCTAGCAACCAAAAACTATAAGCTAACTGCTTCTTCACAGCTAACTGCTACTTCACCTTCAAAAGTTTAAAGTTTAGCTAACAGCAAGAACTACCAAAACATGTACACACCGCAAGAAACTTTAATCACAAATACGAGAGTGATGCTTGTATAAAAACTGTTGGCATGATAAACTTTCTAAGCCTGTAGTGAAACTGAGCTTGCTGAGGTATTTCAATCCAGGGTCATACATCTTTGAAAGCTTTAACTCTTCAGACCTTGATAATCCTTTCAACACTTACGGCTGGCTAGCCATGCTGAAGCTCTGCTCCTTGTACTTTAGCCCATAAATGAAGCAACAAATATTAATTAGCGCGAGCACAATCGGATGCTGCTTGGCCGTGGCTTTAGCAGTGAAACATGGCCCAAACCGACGGGGAAACGTCCAAGCAACAGTGGAACAAAAATATAAATAACAAACGGTTAGTGAAAGAGAGTTATAAAGAGAGAAAGAGAGAGAGAGAGAGCGTTGAAAGCCGGCCCGCCCCCATTTCATCTGCCCACGCAACCACCCATCGCAGCACCCACATCCCCTGAAAATCCCTCAGCTCCTGTGAATGTATCCAATAGTTTGTGGTGCCAACCGGGCGTCTATCCTGGGCGCCCACGCAGACCAGCAGGTGACGCTGATTCGACGACGTCCACAGCGCGTTGGCGTTGCACTCAAATGCGAGAAGCGACAGACAAAAGCTTTTCCGAGGGCGGATAATAAACAGAGTGCGCGTTCATGCGACATTCGCCTTTGCTTAATTGGACCAATTTTAAATCGCTGGTTTTAATGCGCCATCAACTAAATAAATGCACCCAACCCAATAAAAC